TTGCCTTTTATAACTATGGTTAAAGTAATTATAAATATTTCTAATTAGCATTTCAACCTCATCAGGCAATTTTCTGCAACCATACTCAGCACAAAGAGCCAAGGAATGGCACACACATTTCATGACAAATAGTTCAGGGACATCATTTTTTAGGAGACTTTGTAAAGAATGATTCTTACCCATCATGGCATTGGCACCATCAGCAGCAAAACCAATTAAATTTGTTTGATACGGTATTTCATGGCTATTGAAAAAATGGATAATTGCCTCGTACATACTATCAGCTGTAGCGTTGGCTACTGGAAGTAGATGAAGAAACTGGTCGGTGACTTCTAAGTTCTGGCATGTACGCACTACCATTGCTAAATTTTTCACTGAACTTATGTCAGTCGATTCATCCACTAACAATGAAAACTTGTTAGTTTTTAAATAATTGACCAAGTCTTCAAAACCAGTGGTCGCAATGACATTATTGATAATAGCGGTACATTTTGTCCGATCGCATGTTAATTTTGCCAAATATTTAGGCTCAAGTTGAATGGAGTTTATTAAACTGACTAGATGGTCAGAAACATTAATAGGAATGTTGTGTTCAATGACAAATGAAGCGATCCGAATTTCTGTTTCTTTTATATTTTTCATCACAGCTTTTTGCTTGATCATCGAAGGCATATTAAAAACACTATCGACTTTGACATTATTAGATAATTCGATGTGTTTTTTAGAACTGTTGTGTTTGTAGACTGCTGATATGCCACCTTTGCAATCACATGCACAAGTCCTGCAGTGAAAATGCGTTTCTCCTTTTTTACTTGCAGATATCCATTTGCAAAATTTGTCGTTCGATTCCCAGGCCGTTTGATATTTGTGGGTATAGGCCCACTTCTTTGGTCTTTGAGTGCCAGATGTAGACGCAATTGGTTCTTGGGTATCAGGCTCCATGTCGGAGTCAGTATGATATTCCATTTTGCTAGAAATTAAAAAATATTATGAACCACATGCTTAAATACATTACATTAATTCAATTAATTAATAATTACCTATATATACAGACGAGACAAATACAAAATGTCCGTCAACTGACAACTCACAACACACGTCGTCACGTCGAGAATCGAATATTCGAATCGACCCTTTTCACTTTTGACGATAAAGTATAAACGATAACCTCAAATACTGAACTGAATAGTGAATAAAAAAAAGATTATTGATAATGCAATGTTCTTAACCATCAACCATGGTCACGTTTGGCTATTCTGTGATACGACCGAATTTAGATCGGACGATAAGAAGATTTTGTTTTTGGTCAAAAATATTCGGAAAAAAAAATGTTAAATTAATTTCACATCACTAAATTGAATATTCAGACATTTTTCTCCAATTTTCCCCAAAACATAATATTGTCGCCAAAATTTAATGAATTTCAAAAGTTTTTCTCCAAATCCCCAAAATGTTGAAAATTCTCCAAATTTGGGGAAAAATCCCCAAATCTGGCAACACTGAAGACGACCGACGCGCTACTGACCATAATTGTGACCTAATGTTTGTCTAATTAAATTCCTTTGCACTGTACCAGATTCCTCAGAAAACATTAAATGATTTTCCAATGCCTTCATTAAATCGAGTGTATAAATACCTGCTGTCATGAAATTATCTGAAATTTCGTAAGACCAAGTTAGGGTGATGTCTGGTTTTAGTGTTTGTGGGTTATTTACCTTATGTGGTTTTGATGTGAGGGAAAACCATTTGCCATCTTTCTGAAATTTGGGGGGTAAGTATTCATTACAATCTATTTGAGTGCCATTAGTCTTAATATGTGAGTTTTGGGAGTCATGTTATTATATAATACCGGAAGTTCATTGAAGCATGAAGTTTGTACTGATATTTCTACATTTACTGGCTCACATTTCTGTAAGTAAATAATCTCACCATTTTTGACGGCTATGAAACCTGGTCCTTCCCCAATGGTGTATGCAAATTCGGATAAAGCAAGTGTTAATTTTTGTAAAAAAAAGTTGTCTCTCGAAATTGCATTGTTTTCTAGTTAGGTCTTCGTAAAGATTTGTAGCAGTTCTTTTTATAGTGTATTCTAAATAAACAAATTTCGAATTTATACAGGATAGTAAGTCGGTGTTAAATGGTTCAATTTTTTTAGGTGTAAAACTGTTGACATATATATCGTTGGATAATGTAAGTAATTGATTATTTTCTATTTGAATAACTTTTATATTGCAGGCAAATGTTATAGATATTTTTTTTGAAGCGAAGGCAATGCATGTGGTTTCTACAATATAAGTTTCGATTTTGTAGTTGTTTTTATCTACGGATGTGACAATGGAGGCTGGTCCGTCATATAATACATCGTACTCCGTGATCCTACATTCTGTGTTTTCGTTCGTCCAAATTACTTCCCCCTTATATTGATCAAATCTGTATGAGTCGACAGTTTCAATCTAGAACCGGTTGGTAAGATCAATACATTTTCTTTAGTGTTTACTAATGCTATGCCCTCAGATAAGTGAATTTTGTATTTGGCTTGTACTATGACGTTATTAAATGTACGCCTGGTATTTGTGAAAGTGGTACCTTCACAATTGCCATGTTTATTTAATAATCCCCCACTTGTGTGTGAAGTGATGAACGTTTCATTAACTCGTATGTCTGATATTATGCCTTCAAACGGGGTTTGATAAATTAATTTGTTATGTAAATCTTTACATCGAGCTTGTCTTAATTCGATGATTTCGGAATAATAGCATCTTATTGATCTTATCTCAATTGGAGCTGAAATGAGTGCCTCTGTCAGATGAAAGTTACTAAAACAGCCCCAAATCGATACTAGGTATTTCTGTCGTGAATTTGGCAGTAGCCCCGGCTGTTGCTGTTTCAACTCCTTTAGTAAATATATATTTGGATGTGTTACACACAGCTATTAGCACATAACGTTTTTAAAATTATAAAATTCTTACTTCCAAATTAATGGGCACTCTCCTTTTTTTTTCTCCGGCTATAAAACATAATTTAAAAAACATTTAATTAGATTATGTAGGTAGATTCTATGTTATAAACAAGGCAATCTAAAATACCTTATCAACTTGTGGCAAGTGGAAATTCGGGTACCTTGGGTGAGCGTACTCCTCCAAGGTACCACGAATTGCTGCCAGGCTTTGGTCACTGGGCTGGATCTTTTGCCTCGTGTGTGGTACAATCCACGTGGCCTGTGGGGCGTAGGAGGGATAAACCCCTAACACCCCACCCAAGTTTTTATTGTTGACTTTGCCGCAACCTTCAAATAATATCTAGAACAAACATGACTATTTAATACAATAGTTACAACTATGAGGCCATTAATTATTTAAAAATTATGAACTTACGGATGTTAACCGGTTAGGGTTTCGCAACCAGTCCACTACAGTAAGCGTGCTCTTAGTTGTAGTGGACTCTGTGCCACACAGTGCGATAAATATACACTGAGCTAATTCATTGTACCCATCGAGTGTCTCTATGTATGCAAGTACCATGTCACTTGTGACATTGGTAGCCGGGATTTTATGGCTGTAAGCCGTATACTCCCGGACCACCAATGCCACACATTTTCTAAAATGCATTCTTAGTTGATGGAGAAGTTGGTATCGATGTAACAAAAAATGTATTTCAACAGATTGTGCTCCTATATAAATAACAGTTCAAAAATCAAACAATATTCCAAATATATCATTAAAAAAGGTGGGCTAGTGGATGTCGCTCTGCTGTACTGTAGGTTACAAGTGGGTCACTGTATAATGGATGGTATTGAATTTGAATTCAATGATATATCATTGTATAAGAAAAACGATTCTGAGTGGGATTTTCTGCCTATGTACCTACCTACCACCTACGTGGAATATTTATTTATTTATTAACTTCTTGACGACTTGTTATGTAAATCCACATTTATTGGCAGCGTGGTCACTCGCTCGTTCATTCAAAAGTTATGAAAATTCAAAGTTGCAATGATTTTATATTATAAGTGTGAGCCACCCTATAACGACCTATAGGTTCACCTAAGGTGGTTTTACACAACAAGTCGTCAAGAATATACCCATAAGTCCGGGGCTATACAAGTGATACTCACATGACACGAAGAGACGTAGAGACGAGTAGACGACGACGTTTGTTCGTGGTCAGAACGGAAAAGAAACATCCCAGCTCGGTGATCAATCCCACACGGCATAATATATCCCACCTACCAACATAATCCCACGCCAGTCAGTGCTGCCAAACTTGGTAAACAAAAGTATGGGGGAAAATTAATCGGAGATAGATATAATCTGTGATACAATATTATGATAATAATTATAATATTTTAATCCCGCACTGATAAAAATATGTCGGTAACACGATGAAAAGATAATAGCGCGGACGGCTTGTTTAAATAGTAAATACTAGTAGTTTTATAATCCCTGATGCCGTATTATCATTCTTAACTGGCTGTTTACGTAATTTTCCGACAAAATTAGTAGTTGAGTAAAAGTATAAATACTAAATGGTTAATGGATAGCGTTATAATGATTTCATCTAGTCCTTTAGAAAGATTAAAGGCAAATTTGGATTCACAAGTTGCTCCTAAACATTTGCCGTGCCGTCAAGCTGAATATAAGAGTTTGCATTGTTTTTTAGTTAGAAAAATGAATGATGAGTTATCAGGGTAAATTGATGAAATCAATATTCCATTGTTTATTAAATACTTCTTGGTAATTAATTATTTATTAACGTAATATTTTTCAGGTTTATATAGAGGGTGATTCATTTAACGTAAAACACTCAATATTTCTCAAAACCATTTACTTTTTTCAAATTTTATTTTTTTTTCAAAATTTTATATCCATGCTGTTCTAGAACTATATAATTTTTTCTTATTTTTCACCCCTATATTTATTAGGTAAACCACTATCAACTTTTGATTTTCAAATGACAAAATCGAATTTCGAAAACAGTCGTGTTTATTCACACGTCGGCGACTAGGTCAAGGAATCGTAAATACGCGTACGCCGTTGATCAGAAAATGTACGATATTCGTGCGATTGAGCTGTATTCAATTCAATATATTTAGCCAGCCAATCTGACTGGTTAAACTGGATAACTCTATGTACCTATAAAAAAAATGTTAAAAATCTGTTTTAAAATTTTATAAAATATAAATATTTAATTTTTCAACTATTAATCCATTTTTTAATCGCTTGCTGTAGGTTCCTATAATGTATAATAAAATTTTTTTTCTCCTCGAACGTTCCATCTCACTTAATTTGTTCAAGTTGAAATCAACCCAATTGAAGTCACTGTATGGCATATACTGACTCAAATCCCAGCCATAGAGATTATTACCTGTAAAGTTTGAGTTTGAAAAATGAATAAATAAATAAATGAATAAATAAATATATTTACAGTCCTGGTATATCAACCACGATTTCTCCTTAGTTTCGTCATAGTCTGGGGTCTTTATATTATTCGCTTTGGCATGTCTCATGCTTGTCTGCACTAATCCACCACGAATACCTATGAAAAATATACAAGATTATTATTATACACGCATTTTTTAAAATTATATTGATATACTAACCATTCTCATACATTAATAACATATCGTAATCACTCAACAGCTCCAACTTTTTCCCGGTAAACTTCAACATCGCGTCAAAACTTAATCCTGGTGCAGTAAAATAATACTCCACGTCCAAATTGTACGTCTTTATGCACACATCACGAAAATTTTCAAAGACGTCCGCTAGCAGCAACACGTCGATTTTCAAGTACAGATCGCTGTACTCGCCTAACGTCATGCAATTGAAGTGGTCCCAGATCTGTAAACATAATAATTTTAAAATATAGATCTAAATACGCGCACAGCATATAGCATACCTCCTTGGCGTGATCGAACTCTTCCTCCTTTATCCCCGACTCGGTCAATCTGTTGTAAAAGTCTCTCTTCCTCGGTAAACTAGTCTCGTCCAACCTGCTCCAACTATCCGTATACTCATACGGGTACACCCCTTTCCGTGTCACGAGCGGCATATCGTCTCCAGTAAACACTGTTTCACGAAAGTTTTCAAAACCTGGTGTTATCAGATTTTTAGCGAGTGAAGATAGACTCGTTGCTATGAAGTGGAAAGTATCAATGAATCGAATCGAAAATTTGCTTGACACGTTTTTGGAAAACGATATAAATTTTTCCTCGCTATTCGGTATCACGGTAATAGCTTCAGTGTCGTGACCAAGTTCTGTCACTATCAGGTGCGCGTCATAGTTGGACAAGTTATAGAAGTAGCACGGTACAAAAAAGGGTGTTCGTAGTTTTTGGTTGCATACATTGCAGAGAGCTTGACGGTATTTTCCTGTGAGATTAAAATGGTCGGTTGTCTTACGATATAGTATCTCCGAGGGTGGGCTGAACTCGATTTTACATAAATTGCAATGCGTTGCTGCTTCGTGGGCCTGGACGTCATCCGCGGACATGTTTATGGATATATTGGTCTAAGATTTTTCAATCTTTAACGATATATCCGTCACGGTATCAACGAAATGTCTCGCCACATCAGGCCGACTCTCACTTCCTCGGTAGATAATTGGTGCTGTTGGTGTTGTGGTCACTCAATAGCTCCGTCGGTACATCTTCACTCGCCTTCACAATGAGACCATAGCTCATAGCCTCATGTTTGTGAACAATCTTCGTGTTTTTCCCCTTCACCTCGTCCGTCTTAACTAGCAGGGTCTCAAAATCAGCGTAGATGGCAAATGGGTGTCTCTGTGTGTTTTTCCACGCTTCGAATTTCAGACACTCACCCCCTTAGGCATTTTAGGTAGTATTGGTTTATGCGCCCCGCAAATCAACTTATGCTGCTTCAACGCTTCCTGCCCACTCAGCTTGCGTTTATATATTTGATTTTCGAAGCTGGTAAAGCACCTTTTACAAAATACGACTCTCAGTGTGTTTAGTTTTCTGAGCACGTATCAGGCGGGACAAATTGGAGATGTAAACATAATGTGACCCGCTTTCGTCTGCTACCAACAGCAGATCAAAGTGGTTGGCTTTCTCCTCATCAACGACACGTAGCGGGTACACCTCGTACGTCGGATATTTACTCGGTGGCTGGAACTTTTTGTCTAATCCATAGACATTCACAGTGACGTTCGGGTTATTATTTTCAAATTTCTTCACGTCAGATATTGGAGTCGGGAATGATAAACCTTCAAAATNGCCTCTGTCATTAACTTAATATATGCCCTCTCAATAACCTCTGTAATATTACTTTCAATTAAAATTTCTGTTGCTGAGGTCTTGAAAGCCCTATTCTACGATGAGTTTGCGACGTTAGGTCGGTTGTAGGTCGCCTCGAGCTTCAGATTAAATTTTATCGGCCCTTGCTGAACGCGTGTATTCAATAATTTTTTCAGCTCGGGCTCGAGAGAGTGGAGAAATTCTTAGTAAGACTCAGAGGTCTTCACCATATCCATGCGTACCTTATTCGCCCTAGCAGCTGAGGTGGTATTCGCGGTGGAAACACGTTTTCCATTAACCGTTATGGTGTACAAATCTTTAAAAATAAAATATAGCGTCGGATCTTCAAAAAATCTAATCTAATCTACGGCTTATAAATAAAATCGGTGGGTCTTTTAAAAATTAAACTTAAGTTTAAGGCAGCAGACGGACTAAACGGCTACCGACTCCTTAGGTCAGGAGTCTCTATTATAGGTGGGAACATTTTTCAATATTAATGGATTTTGCCGGGATGTGATTGATTGAAAAGTCTACCATAGAGTTCTAAGTATGCAGGTGCAAGCTATTAGAATTAAATATAAAGCGGTTACTAATAGCCATTTTAATACCATTAGTGTGCGACATCCTGTCGACCGGCCGGGCACAA